CGGGTAGTGATGTGCAGCCCGGTGGTTTACCTAAATTGTCAGTCGGCGGTTAACACGTTGCAAGAGGGGGAGAATTTTTCTTACTCTGCCCGGACATAAAGTAGGATCATGAGGTGGGAGTTCGATACTCTCTGTTTTACTGCGTTTTTTTTTAGGTCTTTGTAGTCGAACAGACTAAAAATTTTTCTTTAAATAACGTTTAATACCGACATTTTTTATTCATAAACTAGTGGCAATATATTATTCAAATATAGCATGATAGGTCTCCTTTAAAGGAAAAGAACAATTGAAAATCGGCTTATGTGCTTTCTTGCATTTGCTTTAATTGCTTTTAACAGTAAGATGGCAAGTTTGATAGAGCTTAGCACAAGCTTAGCTTGGCATAAATACAGGAAACAAAGGGGCAAACGTTAGCCTGACTGTCTTAATTTAGCTAAATCTGGCTCCCAGCATCTCTAATGCTCACCCATTTAAAATCTGTTTTGTATTATATGTAGAAAAAACAAAGTGTAATATTTGACGTAAAAGGGAACATTTAAGTTTAGTTACAATAAGAGTTACCTTGCTTTACTTGAGAGGGCATTGATGCGCTGTTTCTTGTGTTTCAGGTGGGAGAGACCATGGGCATCTCTGAGGAGATCATGGGCCTTACTATACTGGCAGCCGGGACCTCCATCCCAGACCTCATCACCAGTGTGATCGTGGCCCGGAAAGGGCTGGGGGACATGGCCGTGTCCAGCTCAGTGGGCAGTAACATCTTCGACATCACTATAGGGTGAGCTTGGAGTGGAGTAGAAGTATGAAGTAGCATAACATGGAATTTGTCAATTTAAAGGTCACCTATTATGCAAAATGCACTTTTTGATGTCTCTTATTCATAAATATGTGTCCCTGGTGTGTAAGGAGACACACAAATGGTCAGAAAATACAAACCTCTCTCTCTAACTCCTTACCCACATCTCTAAAAACGGGGGTACAACAGAGCTGATCCAGATTTGCTGCGGTCATGACGACATTACTCAAATGTGGGCTGGCTTTACGTTGAACTCCTGGCGACATTCCGCCCCGACCTATCAGAAACAATGCGTGACGTGTTTTGGAAGTAATGTGATCTGTGTTTACATTAGCAAGCATCGCTAACACTTGTGCTCACCTTGTGGTAAACCTGCGAGAGACAAAAAACGTTTGAGCTCCATTCTGTTTCAGAAACAATCCTTGATGTGGTTTGGAACATGATATGGTGTTTCACTGCAGCGTTTAGCTGAGTTTCTGCTGGTAGAAAGACCCAGATTCAGCACTTTAGTAACAGGGCTGAACTAGAGGGGTATGAGGCATGGCTACAATGGGCGATCCGTTTGGTATTTTGAGCAAAACACTTCAGAGACATGTTTTGTATAGATATAGCCCTACAATATATCGTTCAAATATAGCATAGTATGTGACCTTTAAAGTAGAGATTAAGTGTGCTTTCCACTCCTATCAGATGTCAGATAGTGTGTGAACCTAGAACTGGATAGAAACCTGTCGGTGTGTCCCCTCTGGTTTCAGCCTGCCAGTGCCGTGGCTCATTTACACTCTGTTACACAACGGGGAGCCGGTGACCGTCAGCTCCAACGGCCTGTTCTGCGCCATCGTGCTGCTCTTCATCATGCTCCTCTTCGTCATCATCTCCATCGCTGTGTGTCGCTGGAAGATGAGCCGGATGTTGGGCCTCACCATGTTCGCTCTGTACTTCGTGTTCCTCGTGCTCAGCGTCATGCTGGAGGATCGCATTCTCATCTGCCCCATCTCCATCTGAAGCCACGCGTGACGTAGAACATGCAGACTGGATCAGTGTACCGAGGGTGTTACATAGGAGAACCCAGCCTGGTGTCAAGAGCTGAGCTGAGGCACAGTAGCCACATTGTAGAAACAGTAAAAGAGCAGTAATGAGGAAGACAACATCCACCCTCAACATAATTTAAAATCATGCTGTTACATTCACCAGAAGCTACTTTTCTGTCCCCACTTTATTTGAGTGTTTGAAATGTACGGAAGCCCTAGACGGCCATGTTTCAAACTGTTTATTGATTATATTACATTTTACAAAATAAATCAAAGTTATTTAACAATATCTTGATATACAGTAAAAAAAAACATATATTCTGAGGTAATTTCAAGCTTTACACATATTAAACACAATATCTGTAGAAATATTTTAACATCATATCCCAAGAAGCATCTGTGATTATGTGCAAAAAGAAGAAACAACTGTGGACTTCCTCTTTAAGTTTACTCACTTTGAAACTGCAGTGTTTTGCTCTCCTGTACCTGCCTGTCATGTTGTAGAAATTAGTCCTTTTGCTACAAATGTATGTCAGACTATAAAACTTTGGGCTACAAAAATTATGTTTTTAGATAAGATTAAGATACGTTTTCTGATACAAGTTAAACTCTATACATGTCACTGACATGCATTCAGTACGGTGGGCAGCCTCCCAGCTACTGGATATATTTGGATGTGCCTGCTCAATTATCAACAACAAAGATTCACAATCAAACTGTACTAGAAACTAATTGAAAAAATCATTTCATCAAGGTGTGTGCAGTGTTTCTCTGATATTGTCATCATAATGCTGCAGTGACTTAAAGAGATGAATCCGTTACAGCAGTGAGGGTCTCTTTAGAACTGCTGGATGCAACTCCATTCTATATGACTAGTGTTCTCTCTAAACCGTGCTGTATTCAGTGTTTATTCAGTGCGGAGAAGAAGGTTTCTGTGAGAGGAAACCGTTCATGTTGACACCATCCTGTGGTGGAGAGGAACAGTGATGTGTGTTTCGGACTGTCTTAGCTGTGAGGAAAACCCTCAGGTGTCACTGTCAGAAGTTACCGTCTTGTTAAATTCTTTTGTTGGATTGAAGTGGATGCAAACATGTATTATTGATGAGAAAACTATCAGTATTTAAAATTAAAATGTCATGCTGCAATAAATTATTTTTTTAACGGTGAAGCTGTGTTCAATAATGCTTTGTTCATAGTAGTATGTCATCAAAGTGTATTTAAATTAATTATTTTTACAAAAGTAAAGTATTTCATGAAAAATACAAGCCATTATTTTAGTGTGAAATAAAAATGTGATTCAAAAATCAAATTTTAGTATGTCATAAATATATAAAAGCATTATGTATGTAAAAAAATCATAATATAGCCTTAACCCTGTCATAAAATAACATGAACACATAGTATAGTATGTCAAAGTAATATAATATGCAATTAAAATCATATCATAGTATTCAAAAAGATAATATGGAATGTCGTAAAATAATAACAATTATTCTTATCGTTAACTATCCTAAAAAAAGAGTCCTATTGCAGTCTTTCATACAATTAAATATAAAAGTAATATTATAGTAGGGGTAATATATTGGATATTGACATTTATGATTTTAGCACGCTAATGTTAATAAGCTCCTAGAAAGGCAACACGCTAGTCTTATGTTGCTTTTGCCCTGCATGCAGCTACCATGACACAGAATAGAATTGGGAGGGATGAAACCCTCTGTAATGGTCACACATGCAGAGCACACAGCACACACAGTGAAATGTGTCCTCTGCTTTTAACCCATCCTAGTACCAAGAGTCTAGTACTAGGAGCAGTGGGCAGCTATTGTACAGCGCCCAGGGGAGTGAGGGGGGAAGGGGGATGTCCGGTGCCTTGCTCAAGGGCACCACGGCAGGGCAGGAGGTGAACTGGGACCTCTCCAAGTAGCAGTCCACACTCCATATTTTAGGTCTGGTCGGGGACTTGAACCGACGCCCCTAATGACTGAGCCACTGCCGGACTATAATGTCAGTATAAAGCATACATTAAAGTTGCCTTATCGAAGAATAATAAAACTATGTTTTAGTTTTATGCCTCAGTGTGTTTATTACAAAATAATTGCAATGGCGATTAAAATTTAGCTTATTTAAAGTATTGAAAATTCAGATTTCAATGCAATATATACACCTGCCCGTCCCTGTTCCACAGGTAGGAAAAAAACACCTCAAAAAATCCTCAGGAAACCTTTTGAAATATAATAAAGTTATTGTACTAGTAATTAGTAAAAAGAACACACAAAGCCAACAATGAGTGTAAGTGATTTTATTTACAGATAAGCAGTCTGTGGATCTGGTTGCTGTACAGAACCGCCACCACATGTTATAAAATGTGATTTCTACAAAGGGCTAACAATTCAAAATGTACATGGCCCCAGATCCTGCAAAATCATTCACTTTGTACAGCTTTAAACACGACAAATATCCACAGATGGATGGCAGCTTTTTTCTTTCCAGCAGCTGACATCGCAGTCCTCTCCGCTCACTCTCCAGAGGAAAAGTGCAACTTCCAGTTAGTTTTCCACAGATCACACATGGTTGACATTCATGAGACCGTCAAGAGTTTAGACTCGAGGGTCCTCCTTCAACCATGGCGGTTGATCCAGTTCAAAATGTATTTGGTATCATTTCCCTTCACAGAATCCTTTTAAAACATGTCTAAAATGTGTCTCCTCTCCATTATTTTTTTATAGAAATGCAGTCAGAACATGAGCTTTAAAAATGCAGAAGTAGATTTGTGCAGATGTGTACAAAGACGTTTGTTATTTTGGAAACTTCATCATGTAACAATACTTCATGTTAAATGGAACTGTTCATACATTACATATATCCACCCCTCAGAGGACACATTGAACAGAATATTAAATGCCTTTTAGTTCATTGAATCAAAATCGTTTTTTTAAAGAAAACAGTGGGGGGTGGGGTGGAAATTGATAAAGTTTCAATTTTGACATTTCTGCATTTGTGATGCATTCGAATGGAGGATTAACTACAGAGTGACTGCATCATGTTTGAGACAGTGGGTTCTAGAAACATTGTCAAAGTGGTTCACGTACACATGTAGCAGCAAACATTAAGTCCTGTCTGCCTCATTAGCATTTCCTTTGGGCATGATATTAGGGTCCATTTTTGGTTTTATATGTAAACACAAATCAATGACAATCATAAAATCTCGAAAAATTCAGAAACCACAGAATCCACCTTCAGGTGCAACACTCAAACACATCTCGGAGCTCCTCAGGCTGTGTGAGCCCTCAGTGAGTGAGGAGCAGATTTAAGTCATCCATCGTCACAGGCTGAACATTCAGAGGCTGGTTAAGTGCATGTACATTCAAAATATTATATATTTATGGGTAAAGCTTCTTCTTCTGGGTTTTACCAACAAACAACCTCCGAATAAAGTTTTTGGGATGTTCTGCAAAAACTTGCTCTTGTCCTCTGTTGTAGTGGTGAGAGATATCATAATGATACAAAATGAAACTCAGACATTATAGGACTTAAAGAACACTAAACCTCCAACATGGCTGACAGAATGTGTTTCCTTACAGGATAGAGGATATGCTGACACACCAGTTGGGTTCAGAGCAGCTTCTGTATGAGGAGGTGAGTCAGTGAATTCATCTGAACAGTCGGCACGTTTAGTACACACATGATGAGCAGTAATACTGATATGTCCAGCAATGCTCCACTGGTGAAGTAAACTCAATGGCTAAGCCAGCGGTGTCCAAACATGTTTCACCGAGGGCCACATAGAGAAAGATATACGAAGGGCCGGGCCCCTCACTAGAGGCCACATTCCATCCATCATTTACTGCGGGCCCATTATAAATAGCTCCCGGGCCGTAGTTTGGACACCCCTGATCTAGACGAAAACTTTTGTTTGATAAAGTTAAAGACAGGTGTGTAAACAAACTAAATATGTTGAGGAATCAAAAGGAAAAGGAATCAAAGTCACACATTGAGACGTAGAGAAAATGGTTTGAGAAGCAAAGCGAACGTTTGTCTTCAGACCCTGGACCGACATTAAAGGCAGATTTAAAAAAGTGGATTTGAAACATTTAAATTAGGGCCGCAACTAACGGCTGGTTATCAGTCAGTTTATAAAAGCGGGTCATCATTTTTCTGAATTATGTTGAACATTTGTGAATTATGCTTTTCAAGATTTCTTTTTAGAGCCCACTGCTAACCCTTTTACAGCGGCCCAAATCCTCTGATTCTTTTTCTATGAATTTGCAGATTTTTCCAGCAGTATTTTTTACTTTCCTCCTAATCATCAATTATAAACACTAAATCCATTCTGCCACATTTTAAACTGCGAGGCAAGAAACGCCCGACGACAACGATAAAGCTTAAAAGGCCCGACAAAAACAAGACACTACAATAAATAAAGCTTACTTTGTATAAATAGAGTTCAAGTTAAAATATTGCTGATTAGTCTTCATATGCTGTATGACTACACAATATAAATGCATTTAAAAAATCCTCTATTGCTGTGTATTTACAGTCATTTTCACGGGAACAAACTGCATGAACTTGTTGATGAGCGGGGCGAGTGGTCTTTCCTTCACTTAAAGAGATAGAGTTTGTAAAACTGTTTTTAGTTTCAGGCAACGTGACGCTGACTATCTTTATGATCCCTCGCAGAGTTTCAAAAACATTCACAGTCTCCAACAGGTTTCCTGAGCTCGTCTTAAAGCGATGATGTGGGGTGAGGAGAGTTCATCCTGGTGTGTGTGTGTGTGTATGTTTACAGGTAAGGCTCCCCAAAGGTCCTGCGGCACTCCATGACCCCCGTGCTGGGGGGGCGGTCACAGTTGTGGGTCAGCTTCACTACGCTCGGCAGGAGGCGGTCGTACGCCAGCTTGTACTCTCGATCAAATGCGTCTGAAGGGAGAGGAAACATTGTTGACATCCTCTCAAATCTATGGAGCTTGTGTTGTTGTGTTTTTACTCATTGCTTTGGTTCTAGGCAACTTTTTGATAATAAGTATTTTTCAGTTGATGTTTTTTTAACAAAAAAGCTCCAACAATCCACTTCCTGCTCAGCGCCAACTCATGAACTAACACTGTTAGAGGCTAGCTGGGGAACATAGTGCAACATTTGATGGCTAAAGACAAGGATCTAAACAGCAGAGTTTAATGGGAGGGAGTATTCATAAACCATTCGAACAAAGAAAACTAATGTTGCTGTGTACCCGCTGCTGGATGTGTGACCAGGTAACTGCTTGCTCACATGTTTGTCATATGAACTTAAAAGATGATAATACTGTATGTCTATGTTGTGTTTACTGGCTGAAAAACAACAACTATTCATCTGGGTTTAAATACATTTCTTCCAATGTTATTTCATATTTCATCCTGGAACTTAATTCTATACAGTAAACATTACATTGAATGAGTCACACTGATGTGAAATAACGGTATGTGAGGTATCTCTGAAGTTTGAATAAGAGACATAGTGTAATGATTAGAACATAAATAATGACTCACCAATATCGATGTTATCTTTTCCCAGAGCCACCAGGGAGAGGAAGAGGATGTCTCTGTACAAACTCCTGTGGATGAAAGGTCAAGGTTAAAGGACATCACAATATCAGTATTTTCTCAAAGTGTTTTTGTTTCATTAATAACCAACACATCTGTGATTAATACTGAAGGAGCCCTAAATCAACTCAAAAGGCTTAATTTAGCTGTAAATGTAATATGATTTGCGATGGTTAGTATCTTGGTATAGGTCAGTGTTTGCAATATTACCAGTTATTATAGTGTGTTTGCACACATGGTCATATGGAAATGGGCGGAACTCTAACTGTGAACTGAACTCTGTGTGAGGTGTGGGAAGAGAGGGTTGCTGTATTTGTGTTGGCTGCAAATAGCTGTGATTATTCTGATCATGTTTTTGTTGACAGTTGATAATGTTTCGGTAAATTAAGAATTGTTAAATATATTTTTGATTCCAGCATTACTTCTTCAAAGCCAAACAGGCCCGACATCAGCCTCTCAGCGACTCATCCTAAAGCTGCTACAGGTGTTTTTAAGAGGTGACATGAATAAATAGGCCTCATGTGGAGCTGACCTCTGCCGTTTGACCCCCAGCGTAGTGCCCAGCAGCTGCAGCAGCTGGGCCATGGGCCTGCTCAGGTCGTTCCTCTGGATGCTCCTCACCACGCTCTGCAGCAGCTCCTCGCTGAACGGCCTCTCCTCCTCCGGGACCGGCCGGGACAGAGGGTACCCCACGTCTGTCAAAACACACACAGAGTTCAGCGTTGACTCATACTAGTGATGAAGACATGAAACAATATAAACCTCCAGTTTCAATCAGTACTTTGGGCTGGGTATCTGTAGCCGTATAAAGCAGTATTCATTTGGCAAATACTGCAGGAGATCTATTCAAGGTAACAATATTCTTAAAACAATGTTCTTGCTGTTAAAAATGTGTTATAATGGATAGATGTATGAGGTATGTTCATAATACCATGACTTGTATGGAGAAATTCATATTACTTTTACTGTTCTTTGGCAAAAGGTAAAGTAAATAATCTAAATTAAGACAAATACAAGTCAGATCTTTTTTAATTTAATATTGGCAAATTGTTGACAAAAAATACATACCGGTACTTGAAATACAAATGCAAAAATTAAACAAAATTCCTAAATAATGTGTTTTTGTTAGCATAATGATGAATTTGATTTAGGGGACCAAACCATATATTAAATGAAAGGCGTGTGATGCTACAGCCATTTCCTGTTGACATATATTAGTTGATGTTTTTGATGCTACAGAATTTCCTTACGGATCAACAAATGACATGTGTCTTTCTGAGCTAAAGCATTGCTGAGGTTAATTGGTGCAACCTGATTAGTATCCTAGCTGTTAGAAGATTACTCACATTCAGTTATGGATTTATGAGTTTAGGCAACCGAGTCGTGGTGACAGAAAGATGATGAACCACTAAATCACAAACTGGAGGTTCTCAGGAGAGCCAGCACCATGAGGTCAGTACCCAGCCCTGTAAGTACTACAACATCTGCATCTTAAGCAGTTGCTGATTAAAACATCTAAATGTCAGGGAGTGAAGAAACAAATTCACCAGCGATGCAAACCTACATTCAAATACAGAGCAGGGCTGTATTTGAAACAAACAGTTTCACAAAACAAAGCAAAATCCCTAAAATAACACTGCACACCGCACAGAGACGTTCACGGTGGAACCATGACTTTTCACAGACGACACTGCGATGCATAAAGCAGAGCACAGGGACACAGCAGCAGGCCTCACACAGTACGCAGTACACAGTACACACACACACACACACACACACACACACACAACAGGAGACGAACACTCACTCTCTAACAACAGAGTACAATTAAGCCCTGGAAGACAGAGAGCAGACAGAGCCTGTTAGCACACGGACCAGCCGACTCCCAGGAGGAGCTAGCTGCTCCACGCCTCCTCCATTAAATAATCAATCAGTGTAGACGTGTTCGCAAAGGGTCGCTACAACAAGAAGACACAGTTGGAAGAGCTCTAGTCATTATTTATGTTTGGCCTCAATTTTGCAGTGCTACCAATTCAGGGAAGCAAAACATAAAAACCTGTGGATTAGTAATGCTTTTTTCCCCTTCCTAAACTTGGTTGAGTTTTTAATTATAGAATCTTTAATGAGCAAACCTATAGGTGCAAGTGTCTATTCTCAAATATCTATTGTGACTAGTAGTTTAAAAGCTCAACATTTTGTAGAAAGAAACAGAAAAAATTGTCAAAGAAAAAATGCTTAATAATGCACATTTCCATCCACTATATGGAAATACTGTACATGGGTATATACGCATTATATGGAGTTGATGATGGTTCTTCAGGACTGCTTCTTAAGCTCTAATCACACTCCCGCAGACTTTTCCGGTGTTTCTAAAGTAGATGATAATGTATGTGTGTCGCTTAAGAGGAAAAGATGCCTGGTTTTTTTGTTGTTATTACTGTCAGGGAATGTACAACCTAACCCTGGTCCGCCCAGTAGTAGTAGTCAGATCGCTACTCTNTGAATAACATCTGAACATGAGTAAAGTAATTATACAGGTTTAGGGGTAAAAGCCAAGTCATGTTAAATTGAGCTAATCGGAGCCAAAATGAATGAATTCACATTTGAATTCATTCATTTTGGCTCCGATTAGCTCAATTTAACATGACTTGGCTTTTACCCCTAAACCTGTATAATTACTTTACTCATGTTCAGATGTTATTCACTAACTACTTCCCTCAGGCACATATGGACCAAAAAAGAAACTCAAACTTTGATTTTTTATTTTCCTTTTTGGGTTGAGAAAGCTTAAAGGAGACCTATCATGCTATATTTGAACAATATATTGTAGGGCCATACCTATATAAGGTATATTTATACGTTTTCTTTTTCAAAATACCAAACAGATCATGCATTTTAACCATGCCTCATTTTGCTCTATTTTGCTCTCCTCCACCCCTGTCTTTGCATGCGCTGCAGCTGACCACGCCCCCTTGCAAAGGAGGGGGCCGAGTTACGAGTGTCATGTTACCATGCTGTTACCATGCCACGGCAACCTCTCATTCCCCTGATAGGTGGAGAGTTGCCCATATAGGCGAAGCTCCTTGTTTCTGACTTCAGAGATATTTCAAATCTGTATCAGATCCGTTGTAGCCCCGTTTTTAGAGATTTGGGGTACGGAAGAAAAGAGAGAGGGTTGTGTTTTCTGACACTAGGTGAGTTCCCTGACACACCGGGGACACATATTCATGTATAAAAGACGTACAAAGGTGCATTTTGCATGAAAGGTCCCCTTTAAGTCCTTGAGTTGCAGGAGTTTGCTTATTAGGTCATTTTTAAATCAAACCTCAATTTCAGCAAGTAGTTTAGAATAGTACTTAAAGTTTATTTAACATCACAGACAGCCATCGACTGAATTGGGACTACATTTTATCCTTTATCATTTCATCCTAATTATTATAAACTGTTAGCAGTTCAGTGTTTTCTTGTAAAACCGTGCTGTGTCATTAAACTGGATGAAACATTTTCTACAGTCAAAACCAACATGTCACAATGGTTTTGAGTTTCTCTAAACATGACTATGAAGGGTTAACCAACCTGATGAGCCCACCACACCATCAGGTAGGAGAAAACTCCGATCCACAGGATGGAACCGATAAACGTGACGGGAAAATACCGCCTGGAAGCCTGAAAATTACAAAACATGTTCAGATAAACTGACACTGAGAGCTGTATCAATATGAAATAATAAAGTCCTTTAGATATACATGTAAAACTCGCTTTTATGTCGGTGATAAGATGTGTTTGTTTTCAAAATGGGACTGTTTATTTATTTGGCTTCCAGCTCCTCCACAAATACAAGAGCTTTGGTAATATAACCAAACACATGTCTGGAGATACGAGAAAGTGGAGAAAAAAGCACAATACTCAGCTCTGAGATGTGTAAAAGTAGATGTATGAGTTAGATGTGAGTAGGTAGAGCGAGGTTGAACATGAGGTGCTACTCACCAGGTTGCGGACGTCGGGCAGCGTGAGCCACAGCGGGAACACGATGGGCAGCAGGAACAGGTAGGTGGCCTGCTTGCGTCTGGTTTCGGGCCACTTTAAAGACAGCGGTTCACTCTCCTCCTCTTCTTCTTCCTCTATGTTTTCCTCATCGTCAAGGTCATCACCTTCACTCTCATCGGAGTCTTCACTTTCCTCGTCACCACACTCATCCTCAGTGCTGCCCTGAGAGCCCTCTGACCCCCCCGCTACCGCCTGCAGGTGAAAGGACACCAGTGAAATGTATTTGAATATTTGTGAATGCTAGTCATTATTTCTCTGCATACCTTCGACTCGTCTGGCTGGCCGGCCTTCTTTTCCCTCGTCTCTTCTTCTTTCTTTTGGGGCTGTGAGGTGGACGGCTCAGCTGCAGCTCCCTTTGGTGCTCCAGCAGCAGCATTAGCATCAGTGGCTAGCTCAGTTAGCTTCTGGTCAGCATCTGGAGAAAGAGGAAGAGCACGCAGTATTACAGAGAGATATATATATATATTTTAAAACTAACATAGTAGTTTGAATATCTACAAGCTGCTTAAAACGAATATTTTAAAGTGAGAAAGAAACAAAGAAACAGATCATAATAATCTCTATGAAATTACAGTAGGCTATAGCATTCATTTAATTTTAACTGAGTAGAGCTTGAACACATCGTAATGTAACTCAAAGCAACTTTTGTTAAAGGTCCCATATCATGCTTTTCCGGTTATTACCCGTCCCCTTGTGTGTTATGGAGGTTTTTATGCATATAAACCGTCTGAGTCAAAAACCCTAAAAGTACACCCTGTAGGTGGGAGTAAAACTCGAACACAGTCTATGCTGCCTCAAAACGCCTTGTTGGAGATTTCTCATTTTCCATTGTTTTCTTCCTGGGTACTGTGGCGTGTGAATACCCAGAGGCCACACCCTCTGCCAGCATTTCACAAAACAAAGCTTCACAAACCTTTCAGCGATACATGCCGGATATGTACAGCGTAGGGCACTGAAGAACGATGCTGTTCCTATTTTGTTTGGCAGGCGGGAGATTCGGGTACACAACCTGTAAGTACTCATTGTTGTTTGTGTATTTATGATGTTTAAAACAAACAAGGTATCTACCACGACTTTTTAAATGGGTTAACGTTTTTCGGGCTACTATGTTGGGATCAAGGAGAAATGCTCTCCGCAGACCCATGCTCACAGCGTTATAAACCTTTTTCTTGCTCAATATCAAGCCACACTTATTGTTTTTACTTCGGCTGTGAGTGTTTGTGTGTGCTCAGGACAGACCCGGCGGCAGACATATACGTCTC